AGTAGTAAGTAGTAAGTAGTAAGTAGTAAGTAGTAAGTAGTAAGTAGTAAGTAGGTAGTAGTAGTAGTAGTAGTAGTAGTGGTAGTAGTAGTAGTAGTAGTAGGTAGTACGTAGTAGGTAGTAAGTAGTAGGTAGTAAGTAGTAGGTAGTAAGTAGTAGGTAGTAAGTAGTAGGTAGTACGTAGTAGTAGTAGTAGTAGCAGTAGTAGTAGTAATAGTAGTAGTAGTAGTGGTAGTGGTAGTGGTAGTGGTAGCAGCCGCAGCAGCAGCAGCAGGTTATCTAACTTCCACAGCTCATCTAGCTTCTGAGTCACTGCCACCAGCTGTTCAGAAAGCAAATGAACATTCATGCAAAAGTACATATTTAATCTTTCGCCAGATCTTTCGCCAAAAAAAAATTACTTTCGCCAACTCGAGAAAAAACTTTTGCCAAATGAGATTTTGATATGTTCCGGGTCATCGTCATACACACTGCTGACTAGGACCTTTAGATCGACAACCATATGTCTTTACACAAAAGAAGCTGAAGCTGTTTGGGGTCTATGCTGGCATAATTTTCCAGAAGATATTCAAAGCCTTTGGACCTCGGAAGATTGAGGTAAAGAATAACAAGACAAAACCTTTAAGCACAGTGAAGAACCATTGGACCATGAGCCTTGAGCACTTTTGTAGGACGCAGGAAACATTAGGAAACACACTAACAACATACACACATAAGAACCAATCACACATGCAATGGTCAGCAAGTCGGCACAAAAGCCAAGAGGTCAGAAAAGCCCTTAAGAGGTGGGAATCTGTTCTCCGAGAGACGTGCTCGAAACTGAGGTGAAGTCAGAACATTTTGAAGCTGAAGACATGCATCGCCCAAACCTTCCACCACCTCGCCAAAAGCGCTGCAAGCGCGGTGACGCAAAAGCGTGCAAGCCGGGCAGTGACTCATGTATCATCATGTATATAGGGTGATATGTTAAATTTTATGAGGTTGAAATCACCTGATATGTTAATAAGGTTGATATATACTGCGATCATGTATATAAGGTGATATGTATAATCTTGTTCAACAGTTTGGAACATATCAAGTCCAACTCCTTAAACCCAGGGCTCCTGCGCCTACCCCCGTTTCGAAGGTGGTTGGGGTGGGTGCCGGGCAGGTCGAGGCCCCAGGATATGGGCCAGGAGCCGTAGCGATCAAGCAACCCAAGCCACATGTGGGAGGCGCTCTGGAGCAGAACGAGCTTTGAGTTCCTCCAAGCTATGCAGCAGCGCTGTGAGATGACAATCTTGTCCTGCTAAAGCTCGCTCGATGGCCGCGTGAGCACGTGCTGACATGCGCTCAGAGGGCAAGGGCTTCTTCACCTAGGTGAGGAGACGGAGGTGAACATCGGAAACAAGACCCCAAAACAAACAGAACACTTGGACTTGCTTGAGGAACCTGGAAACAAATAAATCTTCTCCAAGAGGGGATTTAACATGATTTAACCCTATAGATCTCTATAGGGGAAAAGACATCTTAAGCAAAACCAGGAACCTGTGGGGAGTCAGACCATGGGATTCAAGAATGATCGCTTTAAACCGTGACGACTGTGGAACTGTCTCCTTTAGGCCGCTTGAGCGTCGCCTCAGGTCCACGGACGGCCGTCCGGATCGGTCCGTGTGTTCGCGACTCGGTCGCCGGTGGCGATGGGGGGGGGATAGACCGAGACGATGCAGATCCTGTTCCGGAACAAAAACAAATCCCACTTCCGTTCGACCATTCAAAAGACATGGTTGAACTGGTTTTTGTAGCGTAGAATCCTCAGTTGGTTCGGGATTCAGCCTATTAGTTTAATGGTGGAAGTCTAGGGAAATGGGACAGGACAAAAACAGAGAAACACAACTTGAGGAAAGGAAACCTACGATCGAAAGTTGGACCACACCCATCTCAGAATGGAATCAATCGGTGTGACTCCTTGATTCAACCCGGCTGGCCGTCCCAAGAGCATCCCAACCCATCCTGATGCTGGATTTGCCCTTGCGATGGCTGAGGGACCGTCCTTCCTCGTGCTTTGGCGATGACCAGCTCCGCATCCACGGCTTTGCTAAGACCTTTCAACGCGCCCTGCAGGCGTTGCACCTTTTCGATCACCGAATCCAAACAGGGATGGAGCCAAGTGGAGACCTCGGTCTTGCTTGCGGTGAACGGTCCGGTCCCCGGTCCGCTCATCTGAACTGCAGGGGTAGGGTAGGGTAGTAGTAGTAGTAGTAGTAGTAGTAGTAGTAGTAGTAGTAGTAGT